TATAAAAGAGTTTACCTATGCAAGACACATTGCCACAGTTTGACTGGCGTATAAAAAGTGCCATAATTGAATGATCCGCATGACGGACTGGGCTGAGGCTTCATCGCTCATAATACATGTATCAAAGCACTCCTAAAAAGAACACAACATATGATAAACAGGTGATGGCTCATACGCTACTATGCCACACCGGCACTCGGCCAGATACTGCATGGAAGTGCGGGCGAAATCTTTCGAGGGAATACCTTGCATGGAAGCAGGTCCCCTGGGGATGGTTCCACGAGTGGCCGTATTACTTTAACTGGACATCTGTTTAAATCTGCATATGTTATTGTTCCTGGTTTAATGCCTTAATCCTGCCAATTACTTTAGTACCTGTTTTAGATCCATTGTAAAAAGTGTGAACAAATTGATTATTTTTTGCGATCCTGTTGTACACAATGATCAGACCACACAGTTGGACTGCACCTCGAATCATCGAGGAATATACCATTTATTTATTTATACAACCATAACGAAACATTTCATGAACTGATGACGGAACTCCTTGTAAAGACGATCGTTTCACTAAAGGGAGCCTATCGCGCCCTCCAGGAAATAATCCAGCGTTCGACAGCTGTTTCTGTACTAGTAAATCGCAAACGTAAACACGTTGCGTCGATAGATAGCCATTCCTATGTTCATTCTTTGGCTCTAATGTTGGGCTCCAACTTTTTTCGCATATACGGAACTCAGATGATCTCATAACGACTAACCACAAGGGGCCGAAAGCAATAAATACTTAGGCTATTTCTGAGTGGAAACTACCTTGTCAGTGGACTTTGAGTTGTCCTAATATGGCCAGGTTGGGCCGGTAATTACGAGAACCAATCATTCGTTTGCTAGAGGAACACGCTCGGTTGATCGGAAGGGTTACAGAATGATAGAGGACATTTTAGTCTCTCCATCTTGTCAAGTAACCCCGTCCCACCTGATCATCAGCCAACGGATGAAAAAAAATCGGTGATTGTAGCAGAAAAGGTGCACATTTATTTTGCACTGTTACGCTCATTTCATGGGAATGAGCTAGTTTGCGTATCGGATCACGCAAGAGGTGTGAGAGATAAAACGCCGAACAAAAGCTGCGGAAATCCACATTTCTGTGTGGGAACAGCGAGGTTTCCGCACACACACCCACACAAATGGTGGTGCCCATACACACACAGTGTATGTGGCTTAGAGGACTGTACAACAAGGTGCATCCCATGAATGGGACCGGGTGCCAAGGCATGCCCTGTGGTGTTTTCTGACGCCATTGGGTAGGACTGTACACATTGCGGCTCAGATGCCTCGCTTTACTTGGGCCCACAATTGTTTGTGACGCTCATAGCTAGACTGTAGAGAGAGGGAGAGAAAAATGATTGAACAGTGAGAAAGCATGAGTTGCATGTAGATGATGATACTGTTTCTGCAAGTTAGTAAATGTTAATTCCCCATTCCTGTCTTGCCTGTACAGAGGAATGGGGTAAATTTAATCTTTATATTGGTACCCCGTATTTTAGCAGCGTGTGAACTGTAACGCAGCGTCCGTCAGACTTCATAAACCGCAAACGCAGTGCACCATTTTAAGTGTATTCATTTGAATTTACGTTGGTAACCTGGCAAGTGACACTGAGTAGGTTCCACGAGTAATTTTGTTGTGCGAACCCAGTAGTACGTATTTGAAAGCACAATGGGAAATTCCAGGATAAATACATACAAACGAAGTGTATATGTGATGGAATAGAGACTGCACAATGGCATACGCCAGTTGTTCATGGGACCAAACTTTCACCATTTAGATATGCTATCTGAGTGGAGACGAGTTGGGCCAAGTTAACGTCTTTGAAGTCTGAAACCTGAAATCTTCATAACAACTGCAAATAAGAATCTTCGAAGACGAATTTTGTGTGCTGTCACTGCTATTTCGTGTAAATTCTTCGATCACGTACATGTAGCAAGCAAGGGATTCAAAACAAGGTCACGTGAAATCTGCTGCTCGTCAACTGTTTCCCGATTGGTGTGTTAGGTGCTATCAATGTGTTAGTGCCACTGTCAGCTGTTTTTGAAAACAGCGTGGTGGGCGCTGTTGATCGATAGCAATGTCCTCGAGGGGCTTGAGAACATGAAGTAGTTGATTGCGCTCACTCCCAACACTGCGAGCCATAACTACACCATTTTACACGCATGTTAGCGCACTGTACCAAGCTTTCAGCGTGGCACATTTCCGAAATCGCGTGCAGTGCTTTCAAGTTAGCGTGGTTTCCTTCAGATAGGCATTAAAATAGAACAGAAGGTGGTGCTCGACCACTTTCACTGGACTGTCTGTCTCTTATGCTATAGGCTTCCTACCGTTGTCCCATTGGGTAACGTCCCATGACCAATGAGAGTGTCAACGGCGCCAAAACAGCGTTCTTAGCCTCGTTAACTTGAAAGCACTGCACGCGATTTCGAAAATGTGCCCCGCTAAGAGCTTGGTACAATGTGCTAATATGCGTGTAAAATGGTATAGTTCACGACAGGTGAACCTGTTGTCTAATTTAAGAAGGGGTGCCGTAGTCCATTTACAGAGCACGCACTGCACAGGTCTGTTGCGATGATAGCTGTCCACTGAGCTCAGTGGTCGTAAGGGCGATTACCGACAACACCAGCGTGCCCGGTTTGAGTCCTATTTCATCCATCCCCGCAACAAAGAGGACGGAACCAGACATGGTGTGAAGTGCTGAGAACGAGCGGCACCTAGCGTTTGTCTGTTAAAAATACGATGCTAGTGAATGAAATGATTGATGCTCCCTCCAAATTAAATAGTGGTGGAGATCGGTTCACACAACGCGTGTAACAAACGACCCTGGAAATGAGCCCTTCGAACCACTTCTACCCAACTGATACGAATGGCTTTATGCCAGGCTATTGTAGTCCGTTTCTCTGGTGCACTACTTGAGATCCCAGTGGCACTTGATCACATAAACACAAAGAACTCATACCACTGAGCTGACTAACAAATTCGTTTTCCTTGAATGGTAGGCCTCACCAACCAAATGCGCACTTGTTTCACTGGTCAGGCAGGAAGCATGGCACAGTGACTCGAGTTTTGGGGCTTTGGGATTGTCAACTAACTCGCCTTTTCTCCTACGTCGCTAATTAGCATACATGGCTTTTCACAACGGGTTATCGGCTTGTTTTTGGTTCCTTTTGAACACTATCGTCCATCCAGAGATTGCTTATTGCAATTCTGCGCGTGGGCGTTGTAGATAAATCAACAATTTTTGCTTTTAATTCTTTGTCACCAGGATGCTGTTTCGGGGATGAAAGCATATGAGTGAAAATCTTAGATATCGGCGCAAGGTCACTAAACTGGTGATTTATACAACCGAGCTAAGTGACAAGTCCATAAGTCGCTGCCTTGCAAGCGTAAGGTCGTGGGTACGAATCCGGCAGAATTCGGCGGGTGCGCGCTATTGACGAGTCCCAATAGGACGAAACGGCCGTCTGGCGCCTTGCTGGATGTGAATCGGCTATTTGTCTGTGTCTAACTGCGACGAAGCTACACAAAACCTAATAAATCCCCTACTATTTACAAATAATCAGTAGTTGCCTTAGCAGCATGCTTGCCACCTCGATTGGTGGCGGCTCGCAAAGGAAGTCGTTGCTATGGGGACCAGCCATATCCTCTGCACCTACATAACATGCAAGACAGTGAACGATAAGCCGCGCTATATCACAGTTAGATATCAGTCATGGCGGTTATCACAACTGGACGCTAATCGCAAGTACGTATTACTATTCGTAGCGAATAAGCAAGAAGACGCGTCAGTCTGGCGCACATTGTACTGAACACTTAACGGTTTACATGTGAGCACGGAACGTTAGGGTGTGTCCCTGAGTGCGTGTGTGCGTGCTTATCTACGTGTGTGTGTAGGGCCAATCGGGTTCACGGTCATAGTGAGCGATCATTGGTTGAACACGTAACCGTCCTCCCTGTTTTGGCTGATGTTACAGTTATGGCTGAAAACGTACGATCGGTTTGCGAATCCGGGTCGATCGGCGTAAGTGAGTTTCCCCTGTTGTTCTGTGTTCGTCGTGCTCTGCGATCTCCGAGTGTGACTGACTCACGGCAGGTGTGTCAGTACTCCTGGGGCGTACATGATCTGAGTGCCGGCGAACAACCCGGCCGTCCGGAAGCTGCAAATCTTTTTGACTTCCTGAAGAATCGAGCAAAGTCGCCGGCTGCGAACATTGTTCATGCGGTAACCTGGTGTAAACAGGTTGATGGTCCTGAAATGTAACTTCCGGCTTTGATTCCTCTGAAGACACAAACTTTTTCTGACGCTCCTGTACTTCAACACGCGGGTTCGGGAACAACAAATGAAGCCTCGTTCTCAGATTTCTGCCGAACATTAATTCCGCCGGGGATTTCCCGGTAGCCTCAGTGGGTGTAGAACGGTAGGAGAATAGGAACCGATCCAGTTTTGTTCGCAATGTTCCCGTTCGCTGCTTTAGTAAGCCTTGTTTCACAGTTTGTACTGCACGCTCCGCTAATCCGTTTGATGCTGGGTGATACGGGGCTGATTTAACGTGTTGGATTCCGTTGTTGGCGACAAATTTACCAAATTCGGCACTAGTAAAAGGCGAACAATTGTCTGTACAAATGGCTTCCGGAATGCCAAACGTAGCGAAGGACGAGCGCATTTTAGTGATGGTGGATTCGGCTGTCGCCTGAGTAACTGGATGTATGTCAATCCACTTAGAATGTGCATCAATAAGTAGAAGAAACATGGTCCCGTCGATCGGTCCGAAGCAGTCGGCGTGGATACGCTGCCAGGGCTTGTCGGGCCAACGCCAAAGGTGTATTGGACCTGGCGCCTTGCTCCGCTGATACGCCTGACAAATATCGCAATTCTTCAGTAAGTTCTCTATGTCTGAGTCGATGTTGGGCCACCAGCAGTACCCTCTCGCTAGTGCCTTCATCCTCGCCACACCTGGATGAGCATCATGGAGCTCTTTAAGTATCTGTGAACGCGCCTTGGTGGGAGGAACTAGACGAGAGCCCCAAAAAACACAGCCGTCGAATAGACTCAGTTCGTTCTTCCGAATCATAAACGGTTGTAATTCAACTGTCCCTTCAGGAGGCCAACCCATGTTCAAAAAGCGTTTCACCATTGATAGCACGGGGTCTCGATCCGTCCATTGACGGATTGTTGAACTCCGTATTGGTGTTGTGTCTAGATGTTGCATTAGATTAACCAGTTCAAACGGAGGGTCGTGTTCATGTGCAGCTTCCGTGATCGGCAGACGGCTGAGTGCATCAGCTGTGCAGTTGCTGACGCCGGTAATATAAACAATCTTGTAACTGTAAGCACTCAAGGTTATAGCCCATCTTTGCATCCTCGGTGATGCCATTTGTTGTATACCTTTGGTTTTCCCAAACAAGGATATCAATGGTTTGTGGTCTGTATGAAGCTCGAAAACGTTTCCCCATAAATACTGGTGAAACCTCTTAACTCCGAAGATAACGGCTAGCGCTTCCCTGTCCAGTTGTGAGTAGTTCTTCTCCGCCGTCTGTAAGGTGCGCGATGCATATGCTATGGGACGTAAAGAACCATCGTCCATGCGGTGGCACAGGACAGCCCCGACCCCCCAAGGGGACGCGTCGCACTGAAGTATGAGTGGCTTGTTAGAGTCACAATGGACTAACGTTGGTGGCGAAGCAAGAGCTTGTTTTGCTTTATTGAAGGCATTTTTTGACGGGAACCCCAACACCACGATGCATTTTTGTGTAACAGCTCATTTAATGGCGATAGAACCGTCGATGCATTAGGCAGGAAACGGCGATAGTGAGATAGCATTCCTAAGAACGAACGGAGTTCATCACAACTCTTTGGCTCTGGGCTTTCTAAAATAGGTTTAACCTTGTCATTTAAAACATGTAAACCGTGTTTATCAAGCCGGTATCCAAGGTAACAAACGGAAGGTGAAAGGAACTCACATTTAGACCTTTTCAATCTGAATCCACTTCGCTCCAAACGCTCGAGCACGACCGCGAGTGTTCGAAGATGCTCTGTATCCGAGCGTCCAGAGATAAGAATATCATCCAGATAAGCACACGCAAAAGGAATGTCCTTCACTAGGTCGTCACTACTTCTCTGAAATATTCCGGGGGCGGAATTAATGCCGAAAGGTAAACGAGTATATTGAAATAGTCCCAAATGCGTGGTGATGGTAGTAAGTTTCCTCGAAGGTTCATCGAGCTCTATCTGCGAGTATGCATGACTGAGATCGAGTTTGGCAAACTTTTCACCACCAGCTAGTGTTGCATACAAGTCATCAATACGTGGCAAGGGGTACCTGACCAGCAT